AGCTGATCCGATGTACAAAATTGTTCAAACGGAAAAGATCTTATGAAAGTGTTTTTAGCTGATTCTCTATATATTCGTGGAACACTTTAATATCCTTGTAATGATCAATAATCACTATTATGCTGATCTGTGATTGAAATCGTTTTACTCGATATGAAAAGAAATTTTATGCGAGATAAATGGAAATGAAATGCGAAAGAATTGAGTGTTGCCGTAAATTTCTTATCTTGCGCACAAGTATGAAACCTTTGGGAGCTTTGTACCAAACTACGGACTGTATTGCGGACACTTTGATGCATTTGAATGATGAAATGGTGGTTGTTGTGATTTCAGAGCCTAGAGGCATCAAATAATGCCTTTCACGGCGCGAGAACAAAATTAGTAAGTAAGAGTAATATATGTGTATAAAAGACAAAGTAAACCTGTTACCTTCCACCCACCCCGCCGCCCCCCTCTCAAAATGCCGTAGAATGATCCTCGCTATTTCCTCGCAGGGCTGCCTTAACTTTTTCTGCCATAATAAATGTCGTGTGTGCTGATCAGATTTACCATTCTCGCTTATCGATTAGATAACACAGACTAATGGGACGATTATGCGTAAATTATCAAATGTAATTAGAGGTCTTTGCGTCTACTTTGTCGTGATTTTTTGCGCTTCAAGATAGAAAAAGAGAGCAGCCCGACTTGAGTTGAAATTTCATCGCGCTATGGCGTGAGGGCATAAATATTTTTTTTTTTTTGGAGACAGATAAATGAAATCGTCTGTATTGATCTGTGTACATTCGGCACAACAAACTATAGCTTCATGCCGCACTCTTTCAGTTTCTTTCGGTAATTTTTCTCTCAGTGCATTTTCGCAGCCCCGTAGAAACACAAAGAGACTCGTCCGTGGCCCCGTCGAACTGATCTGTACCTTTCGATTTCTAGGACTCCAAGTCCGGAGCGTTGAAGAAGTCCAGCCGCTACCGGAGCCGCTCCTTGTCAGCCAGCAGCACCGACAGTTACAGTTCTGGTACGAACGAGCCTACGATTGTCACGCACGTAACAAAGTACTGTACAGCGGTAGATCTCTGTGTGTTTAACTTGTTGAGAGAAGAAGCATAATTTATACTTCTGTATTAATATCATATTGCCATCCTCTAACACCATCATTTATATTTGTCGCAAGTTACCAGTTAAAAACGTTTTAAAGCGTTACACGTGTATCGCTCGTATTTTTTCATTGTCATGATTGTTCAAAGTTAACGATCGTCCTAATAACACGGACTTAACAATTGCATTAGCCACTTCGTTAGGATAACCTGCATCCGCACCCTCGATGTGGTACTAATAATCAACATTTTTCGGCACCTGGCGCTACCTTAGCCTCTTATACAGGAAGCTCGTCCGACGAGGATGACGTCTCGCCGCGCGAGAAAATCCAGAAGACGGAGAAGGGCTTCACGGACTTCTGCGTACGTAACATCAATCAGCAGGCCTTCGGTCGCAGGGAGATCGAGATCGCCGAGCAGGAGATGCCGGGAATCATGGCGTTGCGGAAACGCGCGGCGGACGACAAGGTATACCTTTCGCATCAGCTTTCTCTCCGACAACGTCAGAGAGAAGTTGCAACGTTAACGCCCGGATACACCTTTTTTTAAGAGGAATAAAAATTCAGTTTTTAGATAAATTCTCGTTCGATTGCGAGTGAAAGAGAAAAAAAATCTGACTAATATCTTTGCATAGCCGTTGAAAAACGCCAAGATTGTGGGATGCACTCATATCAACGCGCAGACCGCCGTCCTGATTGAGACGCTGGTGGAACTGGGCGCGCAAGTGCGATGGGCGGCGTGCAACATTTATTCCACGCAGAACGAGGTAGCCGCGGCGTTGGCGTACGCCGGGTACCCGGTGTTCGCGTGGCGTGGCGAAACCGAGGAGGATTTCTGGTGGTGCATCGATAAATGCGTGGCGGCCGAGAATTGGCAGCCTAATATGATACTGGACGACGGCGGTGACGCCACCCATCTGATGCTCAAGAAATACAACGCCATGTTCAAAATGATTCAAGGTTCCGCTTCAGTAGTAATAAACAGAAATGGACATTCTCTCGATAATAAATAATTCTTCCAATGTCTGATTTACGAACGAGTAAAATAGTAGAGACATGTCCTTCCAGGAATTGTCGAGGAGAGCGTGACAGGTGTACATAGATTATATCAGTTGTCGAAGGCGGGAAAATTGTCTGTCCCCGCGATGAACGTGAATGACAGTGTAACTAAAACGAAATTTGACAATCTCTATAGCTGCCGCGAGAGCATCATTGATAGGTGAGTTAACGTAGATCGCTTCGCAGAGAGGATCTTGAATTATTCCGAATGCGACGCTCGCCAGTTTTCAGCACTTATCGAATTTGTCGTTTGCAGTTTGAAAAGGTCCACCGACATCATGTTCGGAGGCAAGCAGGTTGTAATATGCGGTTACGGAGAGGTCGGGAAGGGATGCTGTCAAGCTCTCAAGGGCCTAGGTTGCATCGTGTACATCACCGAGATCGATCCCATATGCGCGTTGCAGGCCAGGTAAGACGTGTTCGCACGCGCGTTTTAATTCCCGCAGCCAGATCGCCCGCCGAGCCAGATAGAAATCCTATACATATGTGTTGTCGCATTACAGCATGGACGGCTTCAGAGTGATGAAGCTCAATGAAGTCATTCGAAATGTAGACATTGTTATTACAGCGACGGGCAATAAAAATGTGGTCACACGCGAGCATATGGACAAGATGAAGAACGGATGCGTCGTGTGCAACATGGGCCACAGCAACACGGAGATAGACGTCGTATGTCTCACTTTATCTTCTTTACCGCCGCGCGGCGTGTGATTACATGACGGGCAGTAATAGCGATCCGATTTTCGATCCGATTGATTTGACATATGACTCGCGCGGGGGAGAAGATCGAGGATTAAATCCTCTTAAATATTGTTCTTAACAGAACAGTTTACGTACGCCCGATTTGACTTGGGAGAAAGTGAGGTCGCAAGTGGACCACGTTATTTGGCCGGACGGTAAGCGCATCGTTTTGCTGGCGGAGGGTCGGTTGGTGAACCTGTCGTGCTCGAGTATTCCATCCTTCGTGGTGTCGATTACTGCCGCTACGCAAGCGTTAGCCCTCATCGAGCTGTTTAACGCGCCATCCGGACGATATAAGAGCGACGTTTACTTGCTGCCGAAGAAGATGGGTAGGTATATGGATACTAAAATTGATGCGGCAGTTTCTTCACGTCGTATCCGTTAATTGAAAAACGAAGATTTTATTGTCTCGCGAGTAATTTTTATTCATTGAAGTAATTAATTAGTTTAAAATAATTATGACTTTGGGGTTTCAATATTATTCTTTTCTTTATTTAGAAAGGTTTTTTAGGGCATTTAAATCGATAATTTTGTGAAACGATCAATTTCTTTTACATCAGACTAATACTTGATTTTTTTACTTTTTACCTCTAGTTTATTTCTATTGACATGTCGGATATATCGTATTAAAATGATAAGGATCAAGTCGTAATGTCGATTTGCAGATGAATATGTCGCGTCGCTGCATTTACCCACTTTCGACGCGCATCTGACGGAACTGACGGATGAACAGGCAAAGTATATGGGCCTGAATAAGGCGGGTCCGTTCAAGCCTAATTACTATCGGTTAGTACCAAGCCTCGGATTCTGGCACGAGTGCGACTGATCGAACGTGTGTGTGTGTGTGTGTTTGTTTACCTACCTGTGGATCTGTTTCAGCTACTAAAAAACCATTGGACGAGTAATGTGGCATTGACTAGCACGTGCGACACTCACTCAGCATTACACACCTTCACGAGTATTAAAAAAAAAAAGAAAAAGAAAAAACCAGCCACCCTTCCTTGACTTTGTGCCGAAGTTGGCTTTCTTTTTTCCCCCCACTGACGTCTCTTCCATAAAATCGATAAGAGATTTTTATTTATGGTTCAACCTTCGTAGAAAGATCCGCGCGACGTAATTCCGCTATGTTATCGCTAATCACCCGCAAGGAATGCGTTAATAATGTCATGGTGAACACGCTGATTTAGCAGTTAGTCAATAATCGTTATTAGAAACCACTACCAGGGCTACGCAAACTGCATTCGAGAAAACATAAGTTATTTTGCACAACATATCACAGATGTCTTTTTTTTTCTCTAACACATGTGCCTCTGTCTGGTCCTGGAACTTACATAACTGAATTTACATCCAATTAACTCTTGTAACAGTTTCCTTTTCGAGAATGCGCGAGTGTAGAACCTGCATTTGTCAAGCTAAACACAGAGAAAGGGAGAGGGTAGAAAAGAGAAACTCTCTCTCTGAAAGGTTGCCAGACTGTGCACGCCAGTAAACCCGCACACGAAAAACGCCGGTTGAATACTATTGTAGATATAAACGAGTCATGTATAGTGTTTGCAAACCGAAATGGTAATTGAAATTGTATCTGTCCATTAGTTACTACCTGCAGTAAGTTATAGCTTTATAGTTTGATAAATGATACAAACGTTTTAATATAGTATTGAAAGGAACTTGTATACGTACGTTATTTGTATAATTGACTTGCGCACGATGTAAAAGAAAGCATTGAAAGAATACAAGAACGTAACTGTTCGGTCAGCTCAGTGTTCAATTTCCTCCTGGATGAAAATTTTTCTACAGTTGTAATTTTGCACTCTTAAATTTTTCTTTTAACGTCCTGCGTGCGCATTACGCGTCAAAATTCGCACACGTATACAGGTTTTTGACGATTTCTTAGCGCGTGCAGATGATGCGCGTTAGTCAATGATATTGTTGTGTCCTTATAGTAACGAAAATTGTGCATCATCCGCGACTTATTTATACACCAGCCAGTTTTCCGCGAAACGCGGGAATTTGCCCGCGTTACGCAGGCGACTATAATGCAAAACTCGTGTACATAATTATTTAAGGTAGGAGGGCCGATACGTGAAATAAGGCGATACGCTTTTATTGTGGATTACAGCCTGTTAATCTCTGGTTATTATTGTTACCCTCGTGCGCGGCACGAGGAACGATTTGCGTATCCATACGTTTAGGAAAAAAATAAACGCCTACATTTAGAGAATTGATTATGCAGATTGTTCTTTCTTTTGGAACCACCCTCACCTCTCGACACCGATTGCGTATCGCTGAACCGCTTCGCGTCGATCAACCGTATTAAATTATCGACAATATTGTTAACCGAAGGCACACATAGATGTACATTAAATTTTATATTCCTTGCGAAAGAGGATTCGTCTCGACTCGTCGCAGTCCTTCGAAAATCCTCGGAACGGATAAGAGCGAGACTCGACTTAGGGATAGACCGGTATCATTAGAAAAGTGATCGAAATCGTTATGAAAATTCTTGCGAACGGATGTTTAACGCATGCAAAGGTCATGCGTGATCTGAACGATAAGTGCATTCCGTAGCGACACGCGGAAACAAATCGAGAAACGGAGTCGCGCGGTTCAAGCGAACGGCGTGAGCGACAGAATAAGTTTAGGACAGGGAAAATCAATAACGACAATAGTTCCTATAGTATCGAGGCCAGAGCCTTCGTTAAATAAATGTGTAGTATATATATAGCCAGAATGCAGAATGTTCGAGCGATGATTGAATGACGTACTCCGCTTTTGCGGAGAACCGATGCGGAATGGGAAACATTGTTTGGTCTCCATTGCTTTGAAAGGTCTCGTTAGCGTATATCTGTGGAACGTGAACCACCGCTATTCATTTCGAGGAAAAAGTATAATATTATATACATATTTATATTGGTCATGATTAAAATAGATATTAATTCTATGATTGTTATATAATCATATCTCATAACAATTTATAATTATATATATTCATTATTAAAATATATATTATATAATTATATATATATTATGTATATATCATCTTGTATCGAATCGCGCCTTGAGGTATCTGTATTTATGTAAATTTATTTTTCTTCGAGATAATTAGGCAAAAGTTCAAGCAAACACAAGGAGACGGAATAGTCTATCGATACAAAGATCGTCGAACTTGAGAAAATATATATGCCAGACAAAAGGCAATGCGAGCCAATAAACCCCGATCTTGCGTCCTCGTAAAACAAACGGAGACAATGCTTGACTAGCTCGCGTAACTGGTCTCCCTAAGTCAAGGAGAGCAACGTCGGGCGCGTTCTGATTCCAAGAAAATGATCACGCGTAATACGTGACGATGATATGTATCGGTCATTAGACTAATTAGATCAGGGCAATTGATACATCCTGCAGAGCAGTTTATACTGTTATTAGATCAATAAGCGCGGAATGAATGAATTTGCAAGTATAATCGAGGATTAGATCAAATATGCAGACGCGAGCTAATCTTAGCATATCCGCATCACTTATCGAACGGCAAGCCTGGAACCGAACGTGAATGCATTGTCATCCGCGCAATTGTATGCAAGTGAATACGTAACGGCGCTCCTTCATAATTTCGCAAGGAAATATCAAGATCAAATATCGATATAGACACGCATAAAGAGAGCGGAATGCATCGCTATGTCGAGTCCCGGCGTTCTGTAAAGATTCCCGACGTCCTGTGAGAACCACATGATAAATAAAGGATGCGACGAGTTAACCGTACGAATTTCCTCGAATTCTTTCCTCTTCAGAGAGACGCGTCGCTGCTCTTGATCCGTCTAAGGACGTCTAAAGACGTCATCTTCTCGCGTGAGAAGGTACGCAAATACGGGAGGAAATGCATACATCACGACGCAGCTCGATATAAATGTTATATATATTTCAGCTTAATGATTACAAACTAATGGCTTTTCTCTCCGGCGTACATCGGCAACGTCGTTGTTAGTTACAGAAAAAAAAAAGATTCTTCCTTCCACGCGTCCACGGCGCGATCCACGTGTGAGTATTGAGAAAAGTAAAAGGCAAAAACGGCTTTGGGAAGCTCTCTTCTCTCTCTGGATGACGAAATGGCAAGGCTCGACGGCATGGCATTTACGCAATGGCATTATAATAGTAATAATAGTACGGCGTATTTATACAAATGCGGCAGAGGCGAGAGATTTGCGCGCACATAAATAATAAAACCAGGAAAGAGAGAGAGAGAGAGAGAAAAAAGCATTAAAAATATATTTTACAATGTTCTGTACAAAATCTTCCTTCGGAGTAATAAAAATTCAATCGACGTACATAATCAACAGTGCTATTAATCGGTGAAATATAGTACGTGTATCGGTTGTGTAGGGCCTATGCGTTTTAAACGGTACAACGGATTGCACTTGCAACGGATTACACAGTAATGCACGTGAAGATAACATTTAACAATGACGCTGGCAAATTACGCCAGCGACTCGATAAACTAACTCGATAACAAACCATGTCACTCTAAAACAGAATACTAGGTAAAGAGAAATCCGTTAAAAAGTCGTGTATATATATCACGTCGCTGTGTAAGCAGTAATATTCCTGCGTTTCGTAATTGACGGTGTGATTGCAGGTTTACGTACGCATGTGTGTGTGCGTGTGCGGGCAGAATTAAATTTAAAAAAGAACCATGATCTTGTAATATATATACACAAATTAATCAAATTTCGTTAAGTCATTGCACTACAAGTAACTTCTCTCGTTACAAACCTAAAACTTCATCACCATTCATCTGCAGGCTCGCGTAAAACAAGAATAAATTCCGTGGATCGTCAAATCGTCAATTTAAAAAAAAAAAAAGAAGAGAAAAGCAAACGGTCAACATTTACTGCCTCAACGAGCGCGCTTGTAACAATTTTGTCGTGTAATTTTGTCATGATCGTTGTACAGACTAATTAATCTTACATAGCTTTCCCTTCTCCTCTTCTTTTTTCTTCGTTTACCCGGTGAAATAGTAAATGTTAAACATCCTAAAGGCTACGCACTATTCAACTAAATTATACGGTCATTCGATTACATAAAAAAAA